ATTAAATAACACTACTTTTAAACTAATCAGGTTGTAGTTTCAAAATAAAAAAACGTCTGCCAAGTAAGGTCAGTATAGCTTCCTCACCGTTGTCATTGTATATTACAATGTATACCATTTTTTGTATGAGAATAAAATCTCTGGGAGAAGCCGATTCGGAAATATAGTTACCCTTCAACATTCAACAAAAGAGTGCTGTATTTGAAGATCCCATATTTGATTATCCTTAATAAAAAAAAATAAATAAAATGCACCCTGAACATGAATTTCAATACTGTTAGTGTAAAAGGTCTTATGTAATAATTTATTGTTTTACAAGAGTGCATAAAACTCATTATTTCTTTATGCTTTATTAGTATAATTTCATATTTTATTGTCATCTGCTACTATCCATAGTAGCAGACTACTTATATCAGTTGCAGACTACAAAATGTTACCTTTAATACAAATGGAATACAATTTGAAAAATTTTACATACGACTTTTTTGCACTAATTGTAGTAATATACAGTAGCGGACCCAGATTTAATTTTTGGGGGGAGGGCTTCAGCCTGTAAGATTTTGTTTTCATATACACAACGATAATTAATTTGAAAAAAAAACCGCTGCAAATTATTGCAAAATTTCCAAACAATTATGCATTTAAAGTAACATTACCTTCCTAGTTATTAAGAAAAAAGGTGATTTCAATTATTGGACTAAACTTTTTTTTTAATCATTAGTAATATGCTAAAAAAATAAATTTAAAACCCAAAACAAAAGATATATATATCTTTGCAGTAGAAAAAACTAGAGACCATATCTTTGCTCCTAATTATCCGGTTTTAATGAATTATGTTTTTTTAGGAAATCATTATAGCCACCCTTAAACCTTTAAAAATCATTATAGCCATAAGGCGAATGGCGGACGGCAGACTGACAAAAAAGTTTTTATTCGTTTTTCGTATTCTATGTATCCTGAAACGTAAAACCTCAAATTTTAAAAGGGGTTTATGTTTTTGAATCTGTTGGTCGATCACAATGGTTCATCATTGAAAATAATAAACCAAAAATATATTAAAATCGCGATATCTCTACTAATAGTGCTTTGATTTCTATGAAACTTCATTCATTTTTTAGGAAATTTAAATACCTTTCAAACATCTTGTCACAACATCGACAAAAATGTGTATACTTTTTGAGTTATTCGAAATTTAATTTTACCATCCCCCGTAACTTTCTTCCCAGCTTCTTTTCGTTGAAATATGTTGTATAAATAAATTTAAAGGGCGTCTGGAAAATGACTAAAGAATTTTCATTGAAATCGCTAGTTCGTTTAGGCGCTATAGTCTATAGCAACCTAGGTTTTTCGGCCGCCATCTTGAAAGTAAAAGGCGGATGGCAATGTCGGTGAAGGAAGATCATCCTCGGACGACTTTTGATTTTATATCCAAATTTGAAAAAAAATCGGTCCAGTAGTTTCGGAGAATGAGCGGAAGGAGGATGGCGTACGGCGGACGGCGGACGGACAAAAAAATTGAATTCGTTTTACGAATCTACGTATCCTGATACGTGAAACCTCAAATTTTAAGAGGGTGATAAGTTTTGAATTTTTTGGTCGATCACAATGGTTCATTATTGAAAATAATAAACCAAAAAGACTAAATAAATAATTAAAATAAAATAAATACGCTTAAAAATATTAGTTAGTAATAAGATAAAATAAATAAACTTTAAAAAAATAATAATAATAAAATAAATAAATGAACTTTAAAAATGAAAAAAATAATAATAATAAAATAAATAAATGAACTTTAAAAATGAAAAAAATAATAATAATAAAATATAAAATAAAAGTTCTGCTAAGGATCATTAGTCATAAACACCATATATTTTTTATAAGATTTTCATCATGTACGAACTTCAGTTAAACCTAAATGAAGTTATAACCTGAATTATGAACATATTATTTTATTGAGCGTTTGAAATTTTAATGCACTTCTTAAAATTAAGTAACATTCTTTCATCACAATTAAAGGGTAACAAAATGATGCAGGAGAAACGAATATTACTCAGAAAATGAAATGTTTCCGAGTACATGATGTGAAATTTTACCTTTCTAAAAATGGTAAAACTATGTAGAGGTGTAAATTAAGTTAAATTTTCGATATTTGTTTTCCATAAAGTTAACCCGTTTTGTGTTTATCTGCTTTTCTAATATTAATGTTTAAAAAAAAATATTTATTTATGACATATGAGATTATAACTGTTTTTCTACTAAAAGTTACTGGCGATACTTATGTAAAAAGACCCAAATATTTATTATTTAACGATCAAGACAATAGAAATCAACATATATTTAAAATTAGAGTTCCTGATTATTTAAAGCATATGAATAAAATCACGATTGTTAAACCCTCTTGAATAGAATAAAAAAATAACTTTATTGTGGAACGAAGTCCCTTTAGAATAACAAAATAGTACAAAAGAAACAACTTAATTTTGGCCGAAATGCTTGGTATTTAATTTCATTAATTTTTTTATTCTATTTAACTTATTTATTGAAAAATATTACAATCTGTTTCAAAGGACATTTATAATAGTGTTCAGAGATAAATACAATAAATGAAATAAATTATACAGAAAAATAATATATATACAATAAATAAGTCATTAAATCAAATACATTTAATGAAATTAGATTAAAAAACACTGAAAACATGAAATAATCTTGCGATATACAAAACATTCAATCATAATTTCATAATAAAATAATCTATGTTTAAAAAAGAACATAAATGTAAAGAAAGCAAAAATAAAATTCGGAAATATTGAAAAAATCTATCTTCGTAAAATTGAAGCAGACGGCCGAGGCGATGGTATTCTACCAATCAGTCTATGTGCTTTTTGATTTCATGAATCCTTTTTCTTTTTTTTTTTACCTTATGCTGAAGAGCTGAACTAATGAGCCTCCTCGTCAGAATCACTTATTTTCTATTCAAAAAAATGAATAAGAAAAATATTGAAAACAAATTATTAATATACAAGTTGCGGGGAGCAGGCTCTCTAGTCGACTAGGCCAGGCAGAGCGACGGGGCTGCTGTATCGCTTTCAAAGTAACGCCCTCTGTGTGACTGCCCCGGATTAGTTATCGCCGTGAGTATCGCGCGTTATTGTAACGTAACGTCGGATCGCGTTCTGTGTGACCGAGCCTTTAGTATATACTGTCCTCCAACATAGAATTTAGACTAACCTTCAATTGTCAATCAGTTGATAGAAATAGACCAAGATATTATAACTTAAGTCAGTCGTTTTTACAATAACTACAAATAATACTTAGTGACCCAGGATTGTCACCCGTTTTAGTTGTAGGAACAGTGCCAAAACGTTTTTTTTCTTTTTTTAGTACTGCTTACAAGGTTCGTGTACCCCGGCTGCACTAAATTCTGTTTTTCCTGAACAAGAGTTTATTTTTCTACTATAACTAGGCAGAACTTAATGTTTTTTTATTCAAGTCACAAAAAGGTAGGTTCTAGACTAAATCAAGCGATATTTTAATTTAATTTAAGCACTGTAAAATGGATATTTACATTTAGCGATGTATACATGTATTTCTTCGATATTTTCGAATACGTCGAAATAATAATTCGATATATTGACAATGATATTGATGTTTTTAATCCTCACAAAAAGAGAAGAGGCAATATTTATTAAGTAAATTGTAACTTTCACAATTGTTAGTATTGCCTATCCCCCTTCTTCACCCCAAGGCATATGGTGCATAATCCGCTCAACCTCCATTCCAAGAAAATGTATTGCTCTCTTCTTTTCTGGAAAGCGAAAATAGATTTTTTTTTCTTCACCCCTTCCTCGCCTTTTAGGCTCTACAGGGTTTGCTGACCAGGGGAGAGGGCAGAGGATTAAAAGCATATCCCCTCCTCCAACACCGAACCCGAATTTTTAATTTTTTATCATTTTAATTTCATATAAATATATCTGCTTAGCTGTTAAAGTGAAACTCCTCGCTCTGATACAGTAGTATAATAATATTATATTATAAAGGAAGAAGATGGTTCGGGGTGACGGTCATAAAATAGTGGTAAAACTATTTTATTAAAAGCCAACGTTTCGACCCGACTTTGCAGGTCTTCTTCAGGGATAGAACGGACAATACACAAAAAGATAGAGAATTGTGGAAGTTACATAATATTTAGACAAAAAATTATAAACAATGTGAATAAGCTTATTAAAATTATAAACAGTAAATGAACAGAGTAAGTTAAGTAACAGGATCCTAAACTGACGTAAATAGATGCTAACAATTGTTGTAGTGTAATATATAATAAATACAAATGTGGATATACTTCTACGGATCTACAGAAGAGATTGAAAGAAAAGGAAAAAAATATATAATATGAAATAATAGATATAAAGGAATGTGGAGAAAGAAAAGAAAAAAGAAACCAAAAATTTAAATAAAACTAGAGAGACTTACAGATGTTCAGCTAGGAGTTTCACTTAGAATTGGATAACCAGGGTAAAGGCAGGTATTGGGGAAGCTGACTTGTTTGGGTAATGGGGAAAACCTATAAAATTACAGTATCGATTGATTGTAGATCTGTAGAAGTATATTCACATTTGTATTTATTATATATTACACTACAACAATTGTACCTATCTATTTACGTCAGTTTAGGATCCTGTCACTTAGCTTACTCTATTGTATTTACTGCTTATAATTTTAATAAGCTTATTCACATTGTTTATAATTTTTTGTCTAAATGTTATGTAACTTCCGCTATTCTCTATATATTTTTAGATCTTGTCCTTTCTAGCCCTAAAGAAGAACTGCTGAGCCGGGTCGAAACGTCGGCTTTCAATAAAATAGTTTTGCCACTATTTAGCCTATTTATGACCACTACACCGGACCATCTCCTTCCTTTGTAATGCAAAGGTCAACTATTAAATATTCAATATTATATTATAAGTATTTGTTATAAATAATTGCTTGTTATGTCGCAGGATGGGCTGGTACCAGCAGATGCGATCGCAGTTCGGGCTCCACGACAACGGACTCAACCTGTCCGCTACGATCCTCTTCATCCTGGCACCGGCCCTCCTGTTACCATCGCTCCTCGTACCCTCGCCGCCTCTCTTCGTCGCCATCCCTGCCCTGGCCTGGACCGCGGGTCACCTCAGCGAGCTGGTAGGACTACCACCAACACCGATGATGCTGGTCGTTGGCGTCGCCTTCAGGGCTCTGGGGTGGTTCGAGCCCAGTCCGGTTTGGAGGCGGTTCATCTATATGAGCAGGTAAGCAGAGATTATATGCAGTAGAACCTCAATGTACCGATAGTGTCTACTTTTTTTTTAAACAACCAAATCGAATAAAATATCTATTCGTAATAGAGCAGGCTAAAAAACAATATATATATCTATCTGTCTTTCTATATATATATATATGCTGAGATTGAGTACGAAAATGGCAACAAAGTAGGACTTGAATAAAAACAAAACTAAATCCCTGTTGAGCAAATTAGATACCTAGGACTCCACCTGGACTAGCGACTAACTTGGAATCCCCATACCAGACTGAAACGACAAGAAATCGCTCGACGTTTCCGACTACTTCAACACTTACTAGACAAACGCTCTAAACTTCCCATTAATTACAAAAGACTCATATACTTGACTATAATAAGACCTATTTGGACTTACGGAGTTGAGCTAAGGGGCTCCACTAAACCATCGAATTCCTCTCGCATTCAATCCTTACAATCCAAACTCCTTCGTAAAATCCTCAATGCTCCTTACTTTGTCACTAATAAAATTATCCATAAAGATCTTAATGTTCCTTATGTTTCAGATCTGGCCCAATCCAGATACCTATCCTTCCATAATAAACTTCAGAAACATCCCAACCATCTCATTTCTAACCTTGCTTCCTCTTCAATTCCTGATAACCCTCCGAGGCGTCTGAAAAGAAGATGGCCCCGTGATCTCCTAATGTAGTCATATTATTAGAGTGCTACCATTGGGTAGTTACTCAGCAAGTGTATTCATGTCATTATATCTATTATGTCCAAATTTACTAGATGTATTTATGTAATACAGTTATAAATGTCATTGAGAAATAAAAAAAAAAAAAGTTCGAAAATGTAATCAGCAGAGAAATAGACAACAGAATAATGGCTGGTAATAGAGCTTAATATGCAAACCTAAAACTTCTCAAGTCTCCATTGTTATCAAAAGCCACAAAAATAAAGCTGTATAAAACGCTTATTAGACCAGTAGTCACCTATGGAGAGGAAACCTGGTGTTTATCACAAGAGGATTGGCGGAAACTAAAAGTATTCAAAAGGAAAATAATAAGAAGGATTTACGGTGCTACAAGTGTTAATGGTGAGTGGAAAATCAAAAGTAACAATGAAATCGAGGCTATACTAGAGAATGAAAACATTACCAACTATGTAGGTAGGCTTAAATGGGCAGGACATGTAGTCGGAATGAAGAGAGAAACTTGCAAGAGTGAACGCTTGCAGAGAAAAGTATTGGAAGCACTCTTCAGTGGGAAGAGGAAAAGAGGGAGGCCGAGAAGCAGATGGAAGGATGAAGTGGAGAGAGATGCGAAGAAGCTAGGAGTTTGCAACTGGAAGAGAGTAGCACACGACAGAGAGAGGTGGAGAAAAATAACTCAGGAGGCCAAGGGTCATGCTGGCCTGTAGCACCAGGGAGTTAGTTATATATATATATATATATATATATATATATATTATATATATATATATATATATATATATATATATATATATATATATATATATATATATATAATAAACTATTGAATATTTATGAAACTATGAATATTATCTTCTCATGTTACTTATTTATTTTATTTTTTATTTTCTTTCTCCACATTCCTTTATGTCTATTATTTCATATTATATCCCTTTTCCCTTTCTTTCAAGCTCTCCTGCAGATCTGTAAAAGTATATTAACATTTGCATATATTATATGTTACACTACAACAATTGTTATGATCTATTTACTTCAGTTTAGGATCTTGTTACTTTGCTTACTGTGTTTATATTTTAATGTACTTACTGTTTATAATTTTAATAAGTTTATTGCCATTGTTTAAAATTTGTTGTCATAATATTATGTAACTTCGATAATTCTATATCTTTTTGTATCTTGTCCGTTCTAGCCCTAAAGAAGTTGGTTTTTACTAAAATAGTTTTGCCACTATTCAGCCTATTCATAACCGCCGGACCATCTCCTTCCTTCATAATAAACTATTAGACGATTTCTAATAGTTGGTACCACCTTGGTGCCACAACAACCTTAATTGATGACAAACGGACAGGAATCAATCAGGAGATTATTAAACAAAGCTTTCTTCTCTCTTTCAAAGGAATTGAAATCCTGAAAAATCCTAAATTAAGCTCTCACTTCCACTTAAAGGGAATGTTCAAAAGGAATAGCAGAACGTATGGGATAAGAGTGCTCCAAGCAAACTTATAAGAAAGATGTCAAATCTTGGGGTTCTTCTAATCACAACATTCGCAGAGAGGAAGTCATCCTTGCCAAGGTTAGGATCGGACACTTGAGACTGATCCACCTCTACCTCATCACTAAAGTTGCACCACCTAGATGCCAGTATTGAGATAGTGTCCTGTCCATAAGATTTCTAAGATTGTCCGTTTTATAGTCATAAATTAAATGATTTAGAAATATCACAAAACTTATCAGTAGCCTTGGAAAACAACAGCAATAGATCCAACAAAATAATAACATTTCTGACAAGGGTAAATTTAATAAAAGAGTTATAACAATAATTTATATTTATCTTTTTCTTTTCTTTAATTAGTTTTCCTTATATATTTGTAAGGAACTTGTTTTTTTCTAATTTTATTTATTTATTTTTATTATTATTACTTTTTTATTTTATATATTTTAATATATATTTTTTATCTATTATTTCACTTCCTTATTATTTTTTAGTTTATTTATTCATTAATGTATATATATTTATTTTTTCTTCATTAAACCTAACAGTTAAATATTTTAATGATAATATTTTTATGGGTGATAAATATTCAGGATGCAGTCTATTTAAAAAAAAAACTTATAATTTTTTATTTGTGCCAACGTTTCAATCCAAACATGTGGGTCATCTTCAGGGCGGAAAATTTTAAAATAAATAAAAATAAAATTTTCAACCCTGAAGATGACCCACATGTTTGGGTTGAAATGTTGGCACAAATAAAATATTAAACATTTTTTTTTAAAAAGACTGCGTCCTGAATATTTATCACCCATGATACGTAGAACAGTCTACTATCTTCCTTGAATAATATTTTTATGGATAAGCCACTAATGACCAAGATGTTTTGCGCATAAAACATCAAAACAACTAACCGAAGCTATAATAAAACCAGTTCTGATAAATGGCAGCGAGATCTAAATATAATCCATCCCAAAAAAAAAATTAAAGATTTAAAAATATCTGTTATGCCAAAAGAAAAAAAAAATAGAAATTAAAAGATTTGATTGGAATATTTTCTCTCCACGCAGGAGCAACTTGGTCAATAAAGAGTTGCTTATAGAAACTCAGGATCAACCTCTACCTGATGATATTAAGGTGGGGAGGTAAAGATAAATCCATCAGGAAAGTCCTACACAACAAAAAATTGTAAATATACAATTTTAATATTAATTAAAGTACTTTGTTGGGGCAGAATTTATTCATGTGGTCTCTTTAAACCTTAATCTATTATCCATTGACCTATAATTTAGTGATAATGAGCTGGTTATTGTAAGAATTGGTGTGGACTGTATGAGGTTGGATCACTGAAATTTAATACATGATTAAATTCAATAAATGATTCACAAAAATTATTATATTGTATGTAATGAATACAAACAAAATAAATAAAATTTGTGTACTTGTAAAATTTTGATGAAGAAAATATTGCTGATTGTGAAATTACAATTTTGTAGTATGGCATTGCTATGTTGGAAGTGATTTTGATTCAGACTGAAATTGAGCATCATTTCTTGGCCACCTCTTCTTCACCATATTTCCTCCATTAAGCTGTTTCCTTGGGGTTTAGGAGGGGTCTCATTTTTTTTTTTTTTTTTTTGTTATAATTTCTGTTGAAAATAAAATGAGAGTGTGTGCCCTTCACCAATGAGTAGGATTAACTGTACAGGAAAACTTTACATCAAAGAGTGGCTCAAAACTATACTCCTTATGTATAAAGTAGAAAATATTTTTTTGTGTGCGTGTATATTTTACTTTGACAGCAATCTCCTACCAACTTTGCAAACATAGGTCTATTATAATATAATTCTGATTCATTAATTTCATCAGAATAGAACTTATATTTTTTATTTGTTAATAGATACATTGCTGTAGCAACAGTCCTTTCTAAAAGTGGTCTTGCATTGACACGTTTTCCAAACATTTCTTTGGCTATAATACCATGTACAGCGGAAGCAGTTGGGATAGCTGTCCTCTCATACTATTTCCTTGGATTTCCATGGCTCTGGGGATTAGCTTATGGGTAAGTGATATTTTAAAGTATTAAAAATTTTATATGTCTGATTATTTTAGTAATAAGAAAATATAAACATTTTTTAATATTTGATGGTTGACGTGATGGTGGTCATAAAGAGTAAAATAGTGAAAAAAAAATGTTATTTCAAGCCAACGTTTTGACTTGACTTTGCAGATCTTTGTCATGACTAGAACGAACAAGATACAAAACGATATAGAAATGTGAAAGTTACATAATATTTAGATAACAATTATAAACATTAAAATTATAAACAATGTGAAAAGAAAATACATATAAATATTAAGAACAAGAAACTATATAAACAGAGTAATTGAAGTACAACTAATTGTAAGTAACAAGATCCTAAACTGAAGTAAATAAGTTGTAACAATTGTTGTAGATGGGGAAAAATTGAATGTAATAAGGAATGATCTGAATCCATCTAATCCATGAATTGAATCCATCCATCTAAATCCATCGATATCCATCCTTTTTATTACATTCAATTTTTCCCTATCTACAATAATCTACAGCAATTGTTACCATTGATTTATTTCAGTTTAGGATGTTGTTACTTCGTTTACTCTGCTTATATAATTTATTGTTATTAATATTTCTACGTAATCCTATTCACACTGTTTATAATTTTAATAAGTTTATTCACATTATTTATAATTTTTATCTGAATATTATGTTACTTCCACAATTTTCTATATCCTTTAGTATCTTATTCGTTCTAGCCATGAAAAAGAACTGCAAAGTCAAGTCGAAACGTTGGCTTGAAATAAAATATTTTTTTTCACTATTTTAGTCTTTATGATCACCAAACTGGATCATCTCCTTCATCTATAACAATTTTTGTTTGAATTTCTTTGTATTTCATTTTACTAAGTTTTAGAATAAAAATTTTCATAAACTTAAATCAACAATGAAAAAGTTTTATAGATCATTGGGTTAATTTCAATAATCTCTACCTGAACCTCTTCAACCCATGAAGGTTCTTAGTTTCAAAGTATTATAACATTCAGCCACCAGATTTTTCCCTTTCAACTATTTCATTAAGAGTACCCACTTAGTAGATGCTGAGTGTGCCTGATGAGGGTCGCTTGACTCTTAGAGTGGATCCACAGCTGATAAAACAAAATAAATAAGTACCTGCCATAGCCCGACTTGGACCCAGTCACCTGGAGCATTAGCATGCGAGTGCCCTACTATACTGAGCTATTCTGTACCGAACTGCTATCCACACAGACCTAGATATATTACTATATTTACATTAGATATTATTATATTTATGTTAGTAAGAAATATTCATCAAAATAGTTTATTTTAAAAATCAAAATCAGTTTATTTACTTTATCTTCTTATAGTTCACTAGCGGATCCAGGATTTTATTTTGGGGGAGAGCTTCAGCCCGAAAGACTTTTTTTTTCATGTATATAACGATAATTATTTTGGAAAAAAAGAAAGATACTTAATACCTACATGAAATAATGTTTAAGTGATTCTTAAAGTCCTATTAAATACAATTACACGTACAATAATACTTTAATAGATAATTTTAAAATATTTTTTTCCATAAATCATGGTTACATTTTACCATTTTGAGGGGGAAAAAATTAAAGGTACTAATATTGCAAATTAGCCATTTAAGCCCTGTTAGAGAACACCAATCAGAAACAAAACTACATTTTATTTAAAATTGCTTAATTTTACACTGACATAATGAATTTAATCAAAAACATTAGAGACGTTTAAGAGAAAATCGTAAAAATGTTTTTAGTCCAATATATAAAGTGCCACTTTCGGTCAACCAATTTTGATGAAAAAGTTGCCGTAATATCCCTACCATATAAGAACCTTAAATAGGCAATTTCACTTTCGTACGACTTTTCATTTTTGAACTAGGCTGTTAACACACACAGACCATTTTGCTGGACTTGGTTATTTAGACTCAGGGGATCTCAAAACGAGTATTTCCGTTAAAAATTGAGATTCGAAAATTTTCATGACCGCAATACTTTCCTTTCCTATATATTTCATATATAGGTAAGTGAAAGTAAAAAAAACAAGTGCCTGTCCTATAGTTTATAGAAATAATTATTGTGAAGAGTAAAGGGAAAGAGAAAGGCTCTATTACATAAATATAGTTCCGTAAGTAAACAATTTTTTGGTTCATTATGACACATGCGTTGTGTTTAGATTGAAGTCTAGATCAATAAGAGATTTCAGGAGCATAATTATTCAGAGAGATAGTGTTTGATGTTTTAAATACTTGTAAACACGGTAAAAATAAAGTTTGTTATCAAAGTATATGTTTGCAATTCAATGATTTTCAACACATAACTAACTATTTTTCAGAATTTTTATATATAATTTTTATACTATTAACCAGAATCTTTTCAGAATTTTTCAAAAATAATTTACAAAATTATAAATAAGTCGTTGACTGAGACAGGTACCTGCTGACATTTTAAGAGCCAAATCATCTTCTTGAGAGACATGGCTGATAGGACTTACCCTATTTTTTTATTATGACTATTTATTTACTTTGAGATTATTTTTTATGTGTCTCTGAGATTCCATAGCACACATTTCTGTCTTTCTGTATTTTAAAGGGATTCGTTCCAGAATTATTATTATTATCCAGAAAGTATTATTATTTTGATTACTATAACTGTGGTCATACAAGTTGTTCTATAGATACCACCTCTAGAACCAAAATGGGTTCACGACCAAAGAAATTTTTTCAACCTGCCCACGCTGAATTTAAATCCAGCCAGAGCTGTTTGAAATCTGGAACTTATTATTCTGGTTATAATAGGTTGGTTATACCTGTAGAATAACTCTCTCAGAAATGCACAGGTGAGGTGTAAAAGAAAAAAAAAAAAAACTAATGAATATTTGAAAGGTTCGAATAAAACTTTCAAGAAATAATTTTTTTCTAATAATTTTCTTTCAAGAACAATGGGTTTAAGGAATTTATTAGGCCCTTACATATAAATAATAACAATTAATTAGTAATCTACTCATTGTGTGAGAGTACATAATTTATTCAAGCATTAAATACTGAATAACTTAATGAAAGCTTATGAATTAAATCCTATTCATTCATCAATCAATAATTAGGTCAATAAGATAAGGAAAATTATGTCATGATGATTATTTTTTATGAATGGAATTACTATTAGGGCTGATTACTGAATAAAATTTAAGGATTCAATCCACCCTAATCTACTCCTGAATATTAATCACAACAATGAGAAAAAAATGCTGATTTCATTCAGTGGCACACTTCGACAATTTAGGGCCCAGGACACGTTTTTTTTCTTGAGACCTAAAAAAAAATCCAAATGATTTGAGGCCTTAGTAAGTGTGACAAAGGTTGTTTTTGTTTTTGATTACTCCACATAATCATGAAGACTTCATACAAATAATAATAATAAAATAATATAATAAATTATTTCAAATTCAAAAAATTGTCCATTCCTGCTTATTGATTTCTATAATAATATTTATTCTTTAAGTTCAGTTAAAAAATTAATCAACTAAATATAATTATAATATGAGGCATTTCTGAAAACATATATTTGTATATTCTTTCATATTCTTTGTATTAGTTGATTAATAAATTGTTTCTCCTTAGTTAAGGTGCATTAATATGACTAGTAGGCCCTTGCGAAAATTTGCACAGTATATTGTTAAGTGATCAAATGCCAAATTAATAATAAAATAAAATAATGCAACGCATCATAAGATAAAGAAGTCAATTGTTACTTTCTCGATAAATATAATCGACAAAGAAACAAAAATTAATTTAAAACTTCATTAATGTTTGGAACCAACATGTATCTTTGCTAAAGTTGTCCAATTTTGATGATTTTTTTTTCCTTTTGTAGGGAATTTAGAAATATTTTATACAATCATGGACATAACCAAGAGAAAAGTGTGTAATTTTTTAGTTGTTCGCAAATAAAGATTTTTTTTCTTTCACAACTGTTTTGCATGAATTTTTGGAGTGATTGGACTATTGTGTACGCCTGAAGGAGAAGGAAACCTTCAAAATTGGTGGCTCAATCTTGGGATTTGGAGATGAATTAACGATGATGTGGCTTACAGACAAAAAATATCTTCGATAAATAACATAAACTTCTCCTCTCTCGATCAAGAGCCTCAAGTTGACAAAATGAGACATGTATTCAATGATTGAACTACAATTAATGTAAGGTTTTGTAGAAGTGAACCATTTGCCTTGTATTATATCGAAAATAGTACGTTTTTGAGCTGAAGAATGTAGACCCCGATAGTTCGGAAGGAACTATCCGGGTCTTGCTGTACACATCGAAATTTTCAAAGCCCAATTTGTTCCATATCAATCTACAGACTTACCACCGTTCCAGTATTTTAGCCTAGTAAAATGTTTGTATCGACTTTATTTATTTTAGAAAGAAAAACAAAAGCGGAGAGTACAATTCACTAACCCCCTATGAAACTCTTCCAACGGTACCCCATTCATGATATTTATTTATGACAGGAGCTTATATTTTGTACAAAACCTATTTCGAGCCTTACTGTAATAATATATGTGGATATTAATTAAATCACTCAACAAAAATGAAATTGGCACTAAATAAATAAAGTACTTATTTATTTAAAGAAAAATCTTTGATATATTTTTTTTATTTGGTATTTAATTTTTAAGAAACCCATAGCTGCAAGTCAACCAAAATAAAACAAATAAATATTAACACTAATAATAATGAGCTAACAAAGAAATTAAATTGGTTTTATTAAACTTCCGAGTGTCTGAGGCTCTCATATGCCTATCTCAGTCTCCAAATTCCAGTGATATGGCTGGAAGAGAAGAGCTGGGATCTCTTAGAGTTTTACTTTGCCTACCCATGTGGAGGAGAAATCCTGGTTTGAAGTTCCTTGAGTAAATATAAATATTGTATGAATGTATTTTAGATGACTTTTTTAAAAATTTGAATTTACTTTATTGTCTA